TTGTAACCGGATCCGCGTCCACCCCTAATATAAACAACCCCTCCCTTAGATTTTAATACAAGAACAACACTTATACAACTAATTCAGTTGAGAGAGAAGAAAGAAGGAGGGTGAGCTTGGTAGAAGAGAGGAGAGGAAGAAAAAGTTTTCTAGCAATTCTAACAACTCTCAAGTAAGCCACAACACAACTCTCTCTTTCATTTTTTATTTTCAAATAGATGTTATTAAAACTTTAAAATAACATTTTCAGATGTGTTCTGATTCTTTTGTTAAATATGAAAAGAGTTGAGCCTTGATTCTACCATTCTTTTATTTCTCTTAATCGGTATAAGACTACCTTTTTCCTTATCAATCTCTCAAAATTTCAAAGGCAACCTTCACCTTAAGTTTCTGAGTTTAATACATATTATTTAACATGTTTTCATCACAAGGAAGTGGAAAATTTCCCCTAGCTGACCTCTTTTCTCACCACCTTTCTATTTTCAAGAACTTGTGCCAGAAACATCTATTTTACCGCCACTTTTTGAAAATTTTAGAAAAATGTATAAAAATCTTCTGGACCTTCATTTTATTTCAAAATCTTTCTAAGGAGTTATGTTTTCAAGGAAAACTGGTTTTATTGAAAATGAGTGAGTGGTTTGTGAGAAAATCTGATTTTCTAAGATCGACGAATTTGGACAGAGCTGGAGTATTTCTAAAATAACTAAAAATCTGAAAAATTTATTCTATTTCCGAAAAAATTTCTGAGAACCAGATAAAATTCCCTACGAACATAGATAGGCGGCTCTGGAAAAAATTTGAAAATAGCCTTTTTGAGTATAATCTTTAGGTAGTACCAAATATGGAAATTCTATTTTCATTGGTGGTTTTATGCTCTTGAGTTCATGGATATGCTTATTAATTTATGATCATGTCTCGTATGATATTACATGTGCATAGGTTTATGCATTTTATTTTAATCCTTTGATGGTGCTCACACTTATGCAAATTTGGAAATTATATTCTTGTGCGAAATTATTCCTTAACTACTTGAACATGCCTAGAGCCACTTGTGGCCTATCTTCATATGTGAATCTCATATGTTGTAACTTTATTTCCTTCTATTTGTACTATTTAGTTGTTCATACTTGTGAATAGATTTGTTTCAAGAGATGTCCTAACTCTGACTTAAATTATCTAACTCAAACGGAAAACTTAATGGTGGTAATGAGTTGCGAATTTTTGGGCAAATTACTAAGATTTGATTGGTTAACAGGATGCGTTTCCTATTTGGAAGTTAAAGTCTTGCACAAGTGGTTTTTTGGAACCCTTGAACGGAGCGGTTGTATTCGGACCCTAGTATTTGGTGAGGAGGGATTTGGGCAAGCCCATTATTAACGCCACTTTTGAGGCCCTGTTGTTGGCGCTACGCGGTTATATAAACCGTTGCTAGGCATCCGAGGTAAGTTCTGCAACAAAGTAGTAAAGAGAGGGCATATCGAATAATCCACATCTGATTCTTGCGGTTGGGAGGTTGAAATCTCTTTTGGGGGATTTCTAGACTACCTAAAAAAAAAAAAAAAAAAACAAAAACTAAAACCCTTTGTAAAAAAAAAAAACTTATAATTAATTTTACTTTTTGAAAAATTGTTTTCATTTTGCCTCCCCTTTTTCCCCCCCCTATTGTTTTTTGTTAAAATTTTTTGCTAATTTTGTTTAATTTAAGATTGGGTAAAAAAAAAGGGAAATGGGTTTATGTTGTGTGTTTTAATTGGGGCATTCAAAAAAAACTCATGGGTTGTTTCTATGCCAGCGTATCGAAGAATGTACGAAGATCTCTTCCGTTGCGGCCACGAAACCTCTAATCCGCCATCCGTCCGCCAGATTGACGGATTGGAGAAAATCAATCCGCATCCGTCTGCCAATCCGGCGGATGCGGATTTGGCGGATTGGCGGATGGATACGAATCGATTTGGCGGTTTGAAATTTTACAAATTTTAAACAAAAAACAAAAAACAAAAAAACCGCCACCCCACCCAAACCCGAAAAATGCCATAAACTAGGTATACATAAAGCGGTACAAAAATAATTTTATTAGTCCATCAAACAATATATATGACTGGTCTATAATGAATTAGTTTTACACAGGGCACTCTGTTCTATGTTTACACTTCACACCAGGATCTACACTCCTTTTTGTGGTGAACCACAAATTCTTCTTGCCCTTCCTGGTCTATTTCTTTTGTAGAAGAGCACACATGCAAACATGTGCTTATTCTTTATTCATTTTTTTGTTGTTTTCCATGATGACCTGCCCATTGGCCTTATTATTATTTGTATCAAACCATGCTTGAGCAGGACCTCTTGGAAATCTAATCTATGAGTTCCTATCTTTATCAGAGGCTTTGAACAAAAGAAAGATCCCTTTTATTAGATCTTGACAAAGCCATTTCAAATGGTAAACCTCAACCCCTACTCAAGAGTAATCATATTTAAATATAATCTGATTCAGCTTGATATAAGTAATTGCAGAGAACAGAAAACCAGCCTAGACCTAGGGCAATTTCACTAAAAAAAATAAAATTGAAAAAATGCATGAATTCTTACTTGAGATCTGGGAGCCTCAAATTGGGGTTTAATCAGAGCAACCAATGTAGCTTCTTTCCTTCATTACATTGACCACAGCAGGCATGACCTGCATTTAGGGTTAAATTAGGAACAGAGGAACAAAATGAAACAAAACCTTTAGGCTGTGTTTGGATCACAGATTTCAGAAATGTGAACGAAATATAAGCTAAATTTTTTCTTTATCTCCCTCACCTTTTCCATTCTCTTTCCAAATCCATGATCCAAGCATAGCTTTAATAGGACTAAAAATCTAGATAATGATTAATAAAATCATGGTAATAATAATGGAGAATATTGAAATTTCACTACTCTACTAAAGAAAGAAATGGACTGCCTTTTAGAAGGCATGCAGAAAATCTGAGGCTCTATCTATAAATGAAGACCAAAGAATGGTCATAAATAACTGCTTGGAAAAATATACAGATGCAAGTTAAGATCATTTCAGCACTTTCTAAAAGCTCACCAAAAGTATAGAAATGAATGAACGGTCCAATGTCACCAAGTCAACTTTTCGTGGAAGTCCAGGAAGATATCTCAAATTTGTCCGTTCTACAACACTCACACGTTCATCACGACGAATTTTGTCTGCAACCTATTTAAAAAATCAACATCAACCATTACTCATTAACAAATGTGAAATCCAAATATACAAGAACCACATTTGGAGGTCTCTAAGTTCAACGGCAGATCAACATTGGCAGCGCCAGAAGCTATTTTATTACCACTATCAGTGCCTATAAGACACATTGCAAATTAGCTCCCATAAAAAGCCATAAAGAAGAAACTCATTACTGCCATTTCATACCTTTGTGGATAATCTTCCCAATTGACTGTTGCTTGCCATTTTGTGTCTTTTTTGCAGGCTCAACCTGTGTAAAAAATACACGCACATCAAACATATAGCACAAAAGAACATTTCTCTGTGTTTAGAACTGGAACAAAACAAAATAATAATAATAGATTAGACTCTAAAAGATTAGATTTAGAAGTTTAGAACTGCAACAAAAAAAAAACAGTTAAGAAGAAGAAAAAGAAGGAGAGAAAGAGAGAGAGAGAGGTACCTCAGTTCAGTTACAGTCAGTGTAGACTAGTAGACTGTAGATCGATCAATCTAACCATCTATTTCATTTTAGAACTGGAACAAAAAAAAAACAGATTAGACTCAGATCATCAGAAGAAGAGAAGAAAAGAGAAGAAGAGGAAAGTAGAGAGAGAGAGAGAGAGATACCTCAGTTAGTAGTGTAGAATCTAGATCAATCGCCGACGACGCCATGTAGATCGATCACCGACGCCGTATAGATGATCGCCGATGCCGTGTATGTAGATCGTCCGACGATGGGTAGGGTAGTAGAGAGAGAGAGAGAGAGAGAGAGAGAGAGAGAGAGTTGAGAGAGACAGAGACATGTTGAAGAACCTAGGGCTACAAAACGTGAAATGAAAAAAAAAAATGAGGCAACACAGGGGGAAAAGGGGGAAAATAAGTGAGGGCGCGGGCGGGTTGGGTGAACAGATTAAATTGACGGATTGCCCGCGACCCGACCCGAATCCGAGAAAATGGAAAATATGGACCCGTATCCGTTCGCCACATGTCACGCATCCACCCAAAACTCAACGGGTCGGGTCGGGTCGGGCGGGTGTGGCAGGCCGAGCCATCCGCTGCACACCCCTAGTTTCCATCCATAAAAGCTATTAAAAAGTCACACTAAAAATAAATATAATCACATGTTAAATAGAATGTGTGATTAAAAAATATATATATAATTACATTTAATTAAAAAGTAATATAAAAAATAAATATTATCACACTCAATCAAATTAAATATGATTAATATATATCAATCTAATTTTTCTATCATATTTCTAATAAAAGTCAGATATTTTAATTTGTTAGAGCGGGAATGGAAAACAAAAAAACAGGCGGGAATAAAAAATATTTTTTTTGTCAGAAATGAAATTTAAATAACAAAATAATGTCGTTTAACTTTCTTTCTTTCTTTTTTGCGACGGGAGTTGCCGCCGTCAAAAAAAAATATTTTTTGTTAAAATATATATTTTTTTGTAATTAATGATTTTTTTTTTTTTTTTTTTTTTAAAAAAAGATTTTAAAGTACAAGTGTATATATAAATATATAATGGTACTTGTTTGGAGTTAATTTGTGATTTAATAAAAATGTGAGGGCTTGGGTTCAATTAAAGTATCTATTTCAAGTGTAGAGTTAATAAATTAGTGTTAGGAAAAATAATTCGGTTTTTATTATCTTGCTTTGAATTTAAAGGTAAATAATCGAACAAAAACTGTGAAAACCAGAAGTTAAGGTTTAGAGAGATTAATCTAAAATTTGAGAGTTAAATAATTAATGTTAGAGTGTTAGAAATGATTTCTAAGCTTCCAGAGCTGATTAAGGTTTGTGTGAGTTCGTCCATGATGCGCTTTCAGCTCTATGGTTTAAGTTACAAATAATCGACGAACTAAGGGCTTTATTGTAATAACTCAAAATTTAGGGACCTAATAATGTTTACAAAAGTTAGGGGTCTCACAATTAGACTATCAAGCAGTACACCCAACTTTACTAGGAAACCTTCCACGAAATAGAGGAGGACTGTTCGGATAAGGTGGCAATCTCAACTTTCAAGCAGGGGCTCCAGCCAAAAGATAAACGGTGGCAGTCGCTAACAAAAAGCCCGCCCAAAACAATTGTGGATCTGCAGCACAAGATTGATCGATATAGTAAACTAAAGGAGGACTAGAAGTCTGTAGGATAGGAAAGTATGCAAACCAACACGCAGAAGACCAGCACTCCGCGCAAGAAGGTGAAAGAAGTCAGACACATACTATATTATTCAAACTATGTTCAGACTCCCAATTTGGCAAACACTTAAAGAAATCAAAAATAAACCTTGGTTCAAATGGCCAACCAAAATGAAAGGAGATCTGAAGACACAAAATCAGAGAACAAAATATGCCTATCATAATGATATGGGACACGGGACAAAAGACTATTTTTCATTCAAACAATACCTGGATGAAATGGTGGCCACTAGGTACCTGAACGAATTCTTGGGAGAATAATAACGAAATAGACAGAACAATCAGCAAGAAGGAAATGATGTGACAACAGAGTACCCAAGAGGAATAATCCCTGTCATTCATGGAGTTGCACATCCAAACAGAATAGCACAAGCTAGGGGGAGATGCAAAAGGCAGTGCATCTTAGGGAAATATACAGAGCGGAATATGTTTTGAGGAGTAAGAGGCCGATGGTTGAGACCATCCCCGCAGATCCAGTCATCTCATTTTTTGAGGAGGACATGCAAGGATTGGTTCAACCCTACTCAGATGCCTTGATTATTAAATTGGACATGGATGGATTCAGAGTAGAGAGAATATTAGTGAACGAAGGCAGTACGGCCAAAATCATGTGCTATAAACTTTATCAGAGCCTAGGTCTCAAGGATCAGGATCTTAAGAAAGTTGACTCACAGCTGTTGGGCTTCAACTCAAACTTAGCCTGGCCGGTTAGAGAGGTGACACTACCAGTTAGAGCAAGATTCGTCTGCCTCAAAGTATGCTTCTTGGTCGTCGATGTGCCTTCACCGCACAATGCCATTATAGGCAAACCATGGCTGCATCAACTTAGGACAGTTCCCTCTGCACTTCATCAAGCCCTGAAATTCCCCAATAAAGGAAGAGGCATTAAAACCATTCGAGGGGACCAATTATCTGCTCGAAGCAGCTAATGCTGGCCTTAGGACAAAAAGAAATTAAGCTGGCCCAGAAACGAGTCTGCCCAGTTGAAGTTTCAGATTCAAAAATCCTATAGGGCATTGGAAAAGAACCAGAGAAACACATAATATAAGAGCTCCACAAAATTCAAATCTCACACAGTGACTCGGAAAGGTACTTCCTGCTTGGATTTTCCCTGTCTGAGTAGGATAAAAAAACTCCTTTTTAATTTTTTTTAATGGATAATATTAAGGTCTTTGCTTGGACACCTTATGAATGCTAGGGGTAGACCCCAATATTATCAGTCACCATCTCAATGTTGATCCTACACATAAACCAGTAATTCAGAAAAGTATAAGGTCTCATGTAGACCATGTTGAGGCAGTGGTTGAGGAAGTTAAAAGACTCCTAGCCTCAAAGGCAATAAAAGAAGTACACTATCCCATTTGGTTATCTAACACTATTGTTGTTAAGAAAAAGAATGGAAAATGAAGAGTATGTGTAGACTTTACAAGCCTTAATAGAGCCTGCCCTAAGGATTGCTTCCCTTTACCAAGAATTGACTAATTGGTGCATGTAACCTCTGGGCACACTAGAATGAGTTATTTAGATGCTTACAGAGGCTACCACTAAATAGCATTGATGTAATAACCCCGACCCATGATTAATGCATAATCCATGATTAAGAATGCCTAATAAGTATCTAAGATGAAACCATGTGATTAATTCTGTGTTATGTGTGTGTTTTGCATTGTATCTGTCCATGGTAGAAATATTTGTTTGTGTTTGTGTCTCTGTTTTGTTCTACGAATTGAAAACCTTATCGGCATCCGATCATGATATTGACTTGATATATGAGTTAATTGAAATTTTTAGAACATTATGGTAGGTTCAATTGAAATTCAATTTGGAACCAAATAATTAGAGTTAAAAATATCAATTGATTAGCCTTTAATTATATATCATTAACCAAGCCTATATAAGGCACATTGTTGACTTAGGCCTTAGATTTACACCTCCATTTCCTCATCTTCATGCTTAAAATATGGGGGGATGGGGGGAGGAGAGAGAGAGAGAGAGAAGAAGAAGAAGAAGAAGAAGAAGAAGAAGAAGAAGAAGAAGAAGAAGAGTTTAAGCTCAAATTAAGAGGATTGCTAGAGAACTTGGAGGTTTTGGCTTGAAACTTCAAACAATTAATCATTTAGAGCATCATTGATCATCTAAGATAAGAATTCAACCTTTGAGCTTTGGGATTGAGTCACTTAACACAAGAATTCAAAGAATTGAGTTATGTAATGAAAGAACCAAGCTTAGATAAATGGTTTTGGGAGTGTATCATGCATGCATGCATAACTCTCATGATTTTGAAGTTGAATTCAAAGAATTTCCTCTTGCATGTCCTCATTTTGGCCTTGTTCTAGGAATTCAACATGTTTTTGAGCTAAACACCTCATTTGATCATGTTTTGGAAGTTTTGAACTTACATCTTCACATGCATGTTATGTTTTCACAATTTCAAGTTTGAGGCTTGAACAATTGACAAAGCTTTGGGCTTAATTTTGCGAAATTATTTTTAATTCTCTATGTTTTATCAATTTACAAGTGTTTCCTCAAGTTTTTGGCCCAAAAGAACATGATTTGGAACTTTGAATTTGAGTTTTGAGCTTAGAAGAGCAATTTGGAAATTCCAGAATTCTTCTCTCCGCTCGAGCGACAAAACCTGCGGTCGAGCGACCTCTCTGTGATTTTGCACTTCCGCTCAAGAAACCAAAAATTGGCTCAAGCGTAAAATGCATGCTCTCAAAAGTTTACCATTTTTGCAGACCACTCGAGCGACAAGAGTTGCGCTCAAGCAAGAACCTCAGTCTCACGCTCAAGCGACCGTCGAGCAGCCATCAAGCGGAGAATTCACACAACCAGCACTTTTGTAGAGTTTACAGACTGCTCGAGCGAAAGAAGTTGCGCTCGAGCGGCCACTCATATTTTTGAACCTCTGCTCGAAAGAAATAAGCTACGTTCGAGCGAGGCCCATGTTTTCAGCATATTTGCCTAAATGTTTTCAAGTGTATTTTAGCATCCTTATTGCATCCTAGGCATTCTTAGGCCATGATTAAGACATCACAATAAGGATAAGATGTAGAAGCACACTAAGAACGAGACGAAATAAGTGAAGTGCTACCTAAGCATGTGTTTCATTATGTGTATCTGTTATGTTGTGTTGTGTAAGTCACGCGCCGTATGCTATTTGATCAGTTTGTTCTGTCTATCTGCTTTTAGAGCCAACTGTGAGTAATAAGTCTGTAAAGCTATGTTTGCTTTTAAGTATTTTCTAACTAAACGATATGACCTGTTTTCTGAAATGCTATTTTACGAATCATGAATGAATGTCCATCCCTTTACAATGTA